TTGAGAGTGCTCGGAGTCAATTGGATAAAGGAAGACGTCAATGAAATCAAATTTAGTCAAAAGATGATCACAAATCAATTTCCAACCGAAAAGTTATGCTCCGATATTTTAGTCTCATATTGAGACCTATTTTTGGCATAAAAATTGATCGAATTGGAGAATGATGTCTGAATCAAAGTTGTAGCCAGATTAGTTAGCTTTCCAATGCATTTTGAATCGCCTCAATTGGATATCGGAATACAAAATTATGATAAAAACACTGAAAGAATGTGCAGCTATCTGTTTAAAACAAGAAATTCTGTTACATAATCCGTTAAAACAACAAATTCCGTTAGTTTTTCCATTGAAAACAAGAAATTCCGTTACATAACCACTTTTAATATACAGAAGATATAGCATTAGTTTGGAAAGAATTTATGAACGGTTTAATTTATAAGTAGATAGAAGTAGTTGATAAGTGAATATTACTTACGGGTTCATTTTAATGTGTGGTTAAAAATGAAATTTAATCATTTATAAATTATTCGAACGAAGGCCTAGTTCATGTTTGGCCTCTATTTTTCAAAATTCATTCTTTCTCAAACTCTTTTTCGATTGTACATTTCATTAAATTTTATCAAAATTTCCTTAAAAAATTGAATTTTAACAAAAAAAAAAAAAAACATAAACTTGTTATTGTCCAGTATGTGAAGAACGACGATCCATATAAGCCGGGTTCTTTCTCCCTACTTTCTAGTTTTAAAAACAAGTCATGTGGATTAAATAAAAGGGAGTAATGATATTTGTACACCATTATGTACATGACGGTGTAAAGATAGATAACATGGAAGAGAGTGAGAGAGAGAACATAAAAGAAACTTGATTATTATAATCTCTCTCTTTCACGTTATTTATGTGTGCACCATTATACTACTAGATTCGTCCCTTAAAACAAAAATAAAATAAAATAATAATAATAATAATAAATAAATCTAACTTAATTAACTTCAATGATATATCAAGTAATTAATCGATTGTTAGTGTGCTCCAATGAATAGCTTAATAGATTGGAAGTGAAAATTTGAAATTCCTCCAGCCTCCAAAAAGTATTAAAAAAATAAATAAATAAATGGAATGATAAGGATTTGCATGTATTTGTATAATATTTTTTGCGATGTGGAAAATTAAGGCGGTCTTTCATCTTCAACTCGATTTTGAGTTCTATCAACCTCACTAGATAAAATCTCCGATATAAAAAATTTATTACACTACACCTTTTTTTTTTTAAATACTATTTAGTATAAATAAAATTATCGTGCCAAACACTAAAGTTCTAATTCCTTTAGTTGGGAAGTGTAATTTTCTTGGCCTCGGAGAAGGTGCAAATACACGTAGAGATGAAAGTCAAAAGAGAGCACTACAACTTTTGCATTTTCTTTTTGTATGTCCGTACAAAATTCTTTTGCTCTTTCTTCTTTATGCCTTTTGTGTGGTAATCTCTATGGTCCAACTGTCGAGCATTCTTATTTTACTTGAATCCATCTTTTAGGGCTTTTCAAAAGGGTAACGTTATTCAGCATCACTCGTATCAAGTATCAGTCTAGGTAATAACTGTATGATATTAAATGATGGATTCACTTAAATGTAATGTATGATTCATTTTATTGAACATATCACATGTGGCCACCTAAACTGATTACAACACTACTGATGTTAGATAATATTATTCTTTCCAAAAGTACTTACATATTCTTAGACAAATACTATACTTTTCTTTACATAAAACGTCTACGTCGAAGTGGGACAACTTTATTGGCGATAAGAGTCTTCCGAGCTTCTACCTCAACCGTTGTAGAGATCCAACACTACAATAAATAAATGCTCAACACAGTATTACACGATATACCCCTAAAAAATCCACGGCCCCTACATCACTGATAAAAATAGGGAGCCGCTATTTACATCCATCGCACTCTATATATATCCCTATTAAAATTCTAAAATTTTAAAATATATATATATTATTCTCCTCCAATCCACATATGTCTTTATTAAATTAATTGATTTAAACAACATACATCAACACCATTTTTATATATTTATCTCATCATAATTTCTTCAATTCTTTTATATATCTATGCACACGGTCCACACCATTTTTTATATATCTATCCACCATTTTCATATATCTCATTTTTTAACCCCATCTCATCCACTTCTTCCACCATATGTTGTCACTTTCTTAACAATGGACCCAAGGGTTTTCGATGGGAAAAAGCAGAAGATTTTGAATGGTGGTTATTATGGCCTTGTATGGGAGAGATTAAAATCGGATTAAAATTGAAAATATAGCCGTTATTGTTGACTTTTATTAGACGAGTGGGACCCAATAACGGCCATATTTTCAATTTTAATTGGCTTTTAATCCCTCCCGAACGGGGCCTAAATAGAGTTGGGAGAGATTAAAATCGGATTAAAATTGAAAATATAGCCGTTATTGTTGACTTTTATTAGAGGAGTGGGACCCAATAACGGCCATATTTTCAATTTTAATTGGCTTTTAATCCCTCCCGAACGGGGCCTATATATGTTTGAAGACTAGTCAAGAAATTGATTTTATATAAGGATTTTCCTAGAAGAATCCTCATGTGGGTGGGTATCTTTGAAATTTGT